CCTGCTGTGTTCATCCAGCTCTGCACCTTATTGTCTCAGATTCTCCAGCATCGGCAGTTCCTACTATCTCCCAATATAGGGAAGCTGTGTTTGGTGTTCACCACCATTTGTTATTTCACATCACTCTGGAATGACAACTTGTAGAATATCGATCCCTGAAACAGTGATTCAATGTTTATTAATGCATTGAATTTTACTGCACAATACGTTAATGTAAATAACTAAAGGTGGAATTTTATTTTATCAGAATTTTCTTTAGTACTGCAACCATTCTAGCAAAGTGATGTAATTGATATTGGGGCATACTGTTCTCCTTTATTTCAACGTATTGTCTGTGCATCATGAGGTATGTTAGTACCTATTCTGAATCTATAATAAAAGATATTATATCATTGTCTATGATGAGCCTGCCAAGTGTTCAGAAATCATAGGATTGTGATGCATGTTTAAAGCTTTTAATAAAGTACAGTGTCCCAATTTTCCTGACTTGCAGACCAAGGATGATAGAAAACACGAACCAGGTTTCTGTATTGAACAAGAATGATCATAGAACATAGAACATAACAGCGCAGTACAGGCCCTTCGGCCCTCGATGTTGCGCCGACCTGTGAAACCAATCTGAAGCCCATCTAACCTAAACTGTTCCATTATCATCCATATGTTTATCCAATGACCATTTAAATGCCCTTAAAGTGGGCGAGTCTACTATTTTTGCAGGCAGGGCATTCCACGCCCTTACTGATCATTTATCACAAGTAATTAGATTCTAGCAATGGTTAAACAGATATAAATCATTTGCTTATTACAGTAACTAAAACTTTGTTATAATCACTCCTTGATACATACAAGTAGGGAAAACAGATTATTGATGGATGTAGAAAAACTAGAAATTCAGTTCAGTGGTCTTTGCTTCCCGTTTCAAAGTTCAGATGATCCTTCTTGGCTGGCCTCAGCCCTCGTTGTTCAGATTTTTTATCTCTGAAAGCTTCCCCTGATTTGTAAGAAGTAGAGAGCAATTTATTCACTTGAGAAATTACTCCGATTTCCAATTCAGAGGTCATATCTCACAGCAACTGGTTTCCTTCAGGTTTATATGGAGTTTTTGACTGCAGAGAACAGGCAGCTTCTAGAGTGGGAGAGGATCTTCACACTGCTCCTCTCTCTGTTTCCAGCTGCGAGCTGCTCAGCCATCTACCATAATCAGTACACAACCTTGGCTTCAGATCATTTGCAATCTGAATTTCAGTTACACTCAGACAGCGATATCCATGAGGGATAAGAGCACGGACTTCATGCGAATACCACTTCACAGTCAGTTTATTGTGGACAATGAGGGGAAAAGAAGGGGTCTGGGGCTGACCTCATGAGTACACAGATCCATGGGTAGCAAATCAGTGGATAATGAGAGCAAGTGTATTGCTTACTCAAATAGTTGTTTACAATGAAATAAAACAAAACTACTGGAACTCTGAAACAAAGACAGAAATTGCTGGAGAAATTCAGCAGATTTGATAGCATCCATAGAGAGAGGAACAGTTAACATTTTGAGTCTGGTATGACTTCTTCAAAACTCCGCATTCTCTGTATTTGTCCCAGTTTTTAAAAACACAAAGACAAGGACACGCTCAATGTTTGCTACAATAACTTTTGCTACTGCCTGGACTTCCAAGGCCTATGTGTGGCAGTGGGAGCCGGGCAGTGTGCACAGAGCTTCTGAGAGGGTGTGAAGCTTAGAAGGAACGTTGGTCACAGTGTAATTTTACCCTCCCCCAGCAGATGTTGATTAGATGTTTTTAAAAACATACTGATTTCTTTTTTTAGGAACAGACTCATGGAACGTGGGCGTCACTAGCCGGGCCAGCATTTATTGCATGTCCCTAGTTGCCCTTGAGAAAGTGGTGCTGTAAGTTGATCCACAATGCTCTCAGGGAGAGAGTTCCAGGATTTTGACCTTGTGACACTGAAGGAATGCCAATATTTTTCCCAGTGAGGATGGTGAATGGCTTTCAGAAGAATGTGCAGAGGGTGGTGTTCCTATGCATCTGCTGCTGTTGTCCTGGGTCATACTGGTTGTGGGTTTGGAAGGGGCAGTCTAAGGGTGTATATTTAAATTATCTACCAACTGTTGAAGCAGATACAAACAGGATTAGAACGTAACAATTAACCAAAGTGAATTGATGTACCAAAAGCTTCACAATCAAGACACAAGGATAAGGTGAGGTTCAAACTGTATTTATAATTCAGAATAGATACACCAATGAAGTGTACATACAATTGACAGACCACCACATCTTTAACAAACTACTACAAAAGATATCAAACCCTCAACATTCCAATTCTCATACTGAAGAAGAAATGCTTAGGTTCAATTAGGACACCACCCTACCCCCAAATTAGTGAGTGGTAGAACTGGAAGAATCAGTAAGGGATTCAGTTAATCAAATAACACCTCAGTATAAGTGAAATCATATCTACAGTTCTGCTTCTTTTTACAAAAGGACATCAACCTCCAATTCCTCACAGCCTTAGATCTGCAGGCAGGATACGTGAATCTTTTATAATGCAAGGTAAAACAGTGTCTGCTGTCGTCGATTCACCCTTTCTCAAATTTCATGCTTCACCTTGATAAGAGTACCTTCTGCTTAGACACTCCTCATGCCACCCAACACCCCATTCACCATGCCAGGAAATCAAACCATCAAAAAGAGTCTGTTAAGACATATGGAGCTTAGGGGAATTTCAACATTTACAAAAACTAAAACTTACTTTGCTCACAGATCCTAGTATGATTATATAACATGTTGGATTGATGCAAATGTTATACATTTCTTGTAATAAACACTCTAGGCTTGATTAAACCTTTAACTCATAAATTAAAACTGAATCCAATAGCAGCTTGGGTGATGTTTCATTTTATTCAGGACCATATTGTGTCACTGAAAGCTGTACTGGAAATGTAATGAGGACAGAACACAGCCACAGGATCACGGGAGAGCAGGAACTCCACAGCCAGGCCTCAGCAGACCTGAACCATCATACCCGAAACCATATTATCAAAAACTCTGAAATACAAAGCACAAAGCTATCAGTTACTGGGAGCATTCCACAAATATAACATCAAAAGGCAGTCAGAGTTACTAGGAGTTCTTGCTGTATGCCAGGATGATAGGCAGGCGTAACTCTGTTCGTAATCTGGGAGAGCATCCCATTACATCCTGAATCTGCAGTGGTCAGGTCTGAACACAGGTACTGAGTCAGTTTCCTCTAGCAGCAATAGATAGGACCTTTGTGCACTTTGCTTTTCCACTGGATGACCTTTAATCACCCTGGGACCTGGAGTATTTGGTATCTTGCTCGTTACTGGAATGGAGCAAAGCTCACTAGTCACTCACTCAAAGGTCAGTAAATCAGTGAGCTACACCCAAGCTCAGTTTCAGCCATTTCCCCTACAAGTCAGTCAGTATTTTAGTGATTTCAAAGACAATCTTCAGAGAGAGAAGCACACCTAGGCGTTGAAGTATAACTTACATAGAAGAAGAGTCAGAATTGCTTGACTAGACACCATGCAATGAAAAGATTTCCTCCAGTTTCTCCCAACCTGTACTAGTAGTGGAAATGGTATGCAGGGATCTGCTGACAACACCCCTCTAACTCAGACTTCCCAACACATTTGAGTGCCAATTCTGCAGTGTTAGTATACAAGAGACTCAGGGTAAAGAACCAGTTTAGAATTATATACTGGATTCTATCCCAAATTGACCCACCCTACTTTCCTCCAAACAACCAACAGGGAAAAGCTGCTCTAAAGAACAGGTAAGAATGACAACAGCAAGAGAAAGAGGCCATTCAGCCCCTCAAGTCAGTCTCAGCATTCATCTTAACTTAATTTTCTCACATTTCCTCTTTGTCTCTCAATATTCTTACACTAAAAAAAAGTCAGTCTTGACAATTTCAACTGACTCCTGTTTTTTAATCTTTTGATAATTCCCATTTTGCCTCACCTTCCAGCAGCACAACACAGCCAGAAACTGTGAATCATTTGCTATAATCCTGTGATTTTTCTCCACTTACTTGGACTGAATCAGTTCCCCGGGATTGTAGAATGGATTGCACATGACATCTGTGTAGGAGTTATGCAGTTTTCTGAACATCTGGAGAGAGAAAAATAACATTAAGATTAGATTGATCAACCATTAAGTGACATTACATATTTGAAACCTAATTAGTTACATGAAGGAAAATGAAGGTGGCACAGCAGGTAATGTATCACAGCTGTATTCCAAGCACACTGTGGACACAAAATTCATGGCAACCACATCTGCAGTTAAACGGCTGAAGCTGAAGGACCTTTGGCTGTGAATTGCTGATCTAGAGCTTGAGTTTCAGGCATTTTGAAGCATCAAGGAGGGTTACTTGGTTGCAGGAGCCAGTTTCATCTCTTACAGCAGATAGTTCATGCTTACGCACCTGTTCCTGACCATGGACTGTGGCTGTAGGAGAGGCAGCTATGGCAATCCTGAAAGTAGAGCTGGTGAAACCTCATGTCTTGCAATTGTACAACACATTAAAGGATTCTTACAGCTTGCATAGATGAGAGCAGGAACTGCAGGGAGGATGAGAAAAATGCCCATGGACTGTTAATCCAGAGACCCAGATAATGTTCTGGGGACCAAGGTTTGAATCCCGCCACAGCAGATGGTTGAATTATAATTCAATAAATATCTGGAATTAAAAAGAGTCTAACGATGACCTTGAATCCATTGCCGATTGTTGGAAAAAACCCATCTGGTTCACTAATGTCTTTTAGGGAAGGAAACTGCCATCCTTACCTGGTCTGGCCTACAAGTGACTGCAGACCCACAGCAATGTGGTTGACTCAACTGCCCTCTGGGCAATTAGGGATGGGCAATAAATGCTGCCTAGCCAGCAATGCCCGTGGGCCCTGAATGAATTCAAAAAAGTAAAAGTAAAAAAACACACAGGAAAAAGACAAAGACAATGTTGTCGAGGAGAATACTGAGATACAGGCTATTAGACTAGATGGGATTGAGGTTCATAAGGAGGAGGTGTGAGCAATTCTGGAAGGTGTGAAAATAGATAAGTCCCCTGGGCCGGATGGGATTTATCCTAGGATTTTCTGGAAAGCTAGAGAGGAGATTGCAGAGCCTTTGGCTTTGATCTTTATGTCGTCATTGTCTACAGGAATAGTGCCAGAAGACTGGAGACTAGCAAATGTTGTCCCCTTGATCAAGAAGGGGAGTAGAGACAACCCTGGTAATTACAGACCAGTGAGCCTTACTTCGGTTGTGGGTAAAGTGTTGGAAAGGAT